CCGTCTGCTCATGCTTATTCCACTCATTTCTCTCTAAAATTTGATTAAACAATCTGATTTTTTCGCATTTTTACACAGTTTAAAGTCTTAACTACATGCCTATCTACTTTATTTCTCATTGATTTTAGTTGATTCATGTCTATTTTCCGTTTAGAAACATGACCATCTGGGATGGTTACATCAAAATGTTTCAATTAAGGCAATTTATCATTTGAGTGATAAATCTGATATGTTCTTCAAGATTGTTTACACTGGTAAGATCAATGAGGGCTTTCCATCAATAATCATGCACTTTTTTTAGTCTCAAGTAAACCCCTGTTGTAAAACCTCTGTTTTGCTGTCACATCCTCAGAGGTTTCACTAAAATTTGTCACAAAAGGCTAAATAAATGAAAACAACAGGCAAAATTAATGGAAATCATAAATTTAACATGGAAAAGTCCCTAAAAACAAGAGGTGATTTTGTGAAAACAACTGGTGAAAATCACCTGTTGCCTGCTGCTAGTGAAACCCCTCCTTGTTTTACACCCCCTTTGTCCTTCGATCATACTGTGGGAGAGATAATGGGGTTGGAAGAGACTTTAATCAATGATGACTCTACATCATTATACCTACAAAAAAGCATCTTTCTGACATGCTAGTCAAATCCCCTGTGAAGCTTATGTTAATTGAATATTATATATACTTTATACAACTTGAAATCCTAGAATTTGGTGAAACTGTTTTCAAAATACCTCAAAATAAAATGTTTTTTAAATTAAATACAAAACAAAAATCATTTAATCATTAGACATTCCAATGTAACCAGTTATATTAAACCCATATTTAAATCATTTAATCATTAGACATTCCAATGTAAACAGTTATATTAAACCCATTTTTAAATCATTTAATCATTAGACATTCCAATGTAAACAGTTATATTAAACCCATTTTTAAATCATTTAATCATTAGACATTCCAATGTAAACAGTTATATTAAACCCATTTTTAAATCATTTAATCATTAGACATTCCAATGTAACCAGTTATATTAAACCCATTTTTAAATCATTTAATCATTAGACATTCCAATGTAAACAGTTATATTAAACCCATTTTTGAATCATTTAATTATTAGACATTCCAATGTAACCAGTTATATTAAACCCATTTTTAAATCATTTAATCATTAGACATTCCAATGTAACCAGTTATATTAAAATCATTTTTAAATCATTTTATCATTAGACATTCCAATGTAACCAGTTATATTAAACCCATTTTTAAATCATTTAATCATTAGACATTCCAATGTAAACATTTATATTAAACCCATTTTTAAATCATTTTCAACGATTGATAAAGGACAGCAGATGTGCTAGAAATTATGAAATTATTTTTGTTTTTCACACCTGTGGATCTTGCTAGACCTCATGTGTTATCGTGACTTGTCAGTGTTTTATGACGCAAATCCCTACTGAAAGATCACTGTGGTCCAATACAAATGCCACACAGTTGTTTCCCCAGAATTAAAGTAAATTGGTGTTGCACCCACTTTAGGTTAAAAAACTCGCACCAACTTGATAATCCATTGCACCCTCTTGAATCTATTGGCAACTCCTTGAAAAGAGTTGAATCAGAAAATAGGCATATTTTGACCAATTTTGGTTTGGATTATGGAAATGAGAATTTTGTAATCACTTGAAAAGAATCAAGAACACAGAATGCCTGCCATACTTTCTGCCATGGGCTGTTGTTGCCATTTACGTCATTTACATCACGTGCGATCTCTATTCACACTTTTCTGTGTTTGCGTACATGATTATAGCCTTTCTGACATGCTAGTCAAATCCCCTGTGAAGCTTATGTTAATTGAATATTATATATACTTTATACAACTTGAAATCCTAGAATTTGGTGAAACTGTTTTCAAAATACCTCAAAATAAAATGTTTTTTAAATTAAATACAAAACAAAAATCATTTAATCATTAGACATTCCAATGTAACCAGTTATATTAAACCCATATTTAAATCATTTAATCATTAGACATTCCAATGTAAACAGTTATATTAAACCCATTTTTAAATCATTTAATCATTAGACATTCCAATGTAAACAGTTATATTAAACCCATTTTTAAATCATTTAATCATTAGACATTCCAATGTAAACAGTTATATTAAACCCATTTTTAAATCATTTAATCATTAGACATTCCAATGTAACCAGTTATATTAAACCCATTTTTAAATCATTTAATCATTAGACATTCCAATGTAAACAGTTATATTAAACCCATTTTTGAATCATTTAATTATTAGACATTCCAATGTAACCAGTTATATTAAACCCATTTTTAAATCATTTAATCATTAGACATTCCAATGTAACCAGTTATATTAAAATCATTTTTAAATCATTTTATCATTAGACATTCCAATGTAACCAGTTATATTAAACCCATTTTTAAATCATTTAATCATTAGACATTCCAATGTAAACATTTATATTAAACCCATTTTTAAATCATTTTCAACGATTGATAAAGGACAGCAGATGTGCTAGAAATTATGAAATTATTTTTGTTTTTCACACCTGTGGATCTTGCTAGACCTCATGTGTTATCGTGACTTGTCAGTGTTTTATGACGCAAATCCCTACTGAAAGATCACTGTGGTCCAATACAAATGCCACACAGTTGTTTCCCCAGAATTAAAGTAAATTGGTGTTGCACCCACTTTAGGTTAAAAAACTCGCACCAACTTGATAATCCATTGCACCCTCTTGAATCTATTGGCAACTCCTTGAAAAGAGTTGAATCAGAAAATAGGCATATTTTGACCAATTTTGGTTTGGATTATGGAAATGAGAATTTTGTAATCACTTGAAAAGAATCAAGAACACAGAATGCCTGCCATACTTTCTGCCATGGGCTGTTGTTGCCATTTACGTCATTTACATCACGTGCGATCTCTATTCACACTTTTCTGTGTTTGCGTACATGATTATAGCCTTTCTGACATGCTAGTCAAATCCCCTGTGAAGCTTATGTTAATTGAATATTATATATACTTTATACAACTTGAAATCCTAGAATTTGGTGAAACTGTTTTCAAAATACCTCAAAATAAAATGTTTTTTAAATTAAATACAAAACAAAAATCATTTAATCATTAGACATTCCAATGTAACCAGTTATATTAAACCCATATTTAAATCATTTAATCATTAGACATTCCAATGTAAACAGTTATATTAAACCCATTTTTAAATCATTTAATCATTAGACATTCCAATGTAAACAGTTATATTAAACCCATTTTTAAATCATTTAATCATTAGACATTCCAATGTAAACAGTTATATTAAACCCATTTTTAAATCATTTAATCATTAGACATTCCAATGTAACCAGTTATATTAAACCCATTTTTAAATCATTTAATCATTAGACATTCCAATGTAAACAGTTATATTAAACCCATTTTTGAATCATTTAATTATTAGACATTCCAATGTAACCAGTTATATTAAACCCATTTTTAAATCATTTAATCATTAGACATTCCAATGTAACCAGTTATATTAAAATCATTTTTAAATCATTTTATCATTAGACATTCCAATGTAACCAGTTATATTAAACCCATTTTTAAATCATTTAATCATTAGACATTCCAATGTAAACATTTATATTAAACCCATTTTTAAATCATTTTCAACGATTGATAAAGGACAGCAGATGTGCTAGAAATTATGAAATTATTTTTGTTTTTCACACCTGTGGATCTTGCTAGACCTCATGTGTTATCGTGACTTGTCAGTGTTTTATGACGCAAATCCCTACTGAAAGATCACTGTGGTCCAATACAAATGCCACACAGTTGTTTCCCCAGAATTAAAGTAAATTGGTGTTGCACCCACTTTAGGTTAAAAAACTCGCACCAACTTGATAATCCATTGCACCCTCTTGAATCTATTGGCAACTCCTTGAAAAGAGTTGAATCAGAAAATAGGCATATTTTGACCAATTTTGGTTTGGATTATGGAAATGAGAATTTTGTAATCACTTGAAAAGAATCAAGAACACAGAATGCCTGCCATACTTTCTGCCATGGGCTGTTGTTGCCATTTACGTCATTTACATCACGTGCGATCTCTATTCACACTTTTCTGTGTTTGCGTACATGATTATAGCCTATATGACAACCCCATTTTAGGAGTAGATTGCATAACTTTAAAAGAGATCTTCATCTACATTCTTTGAATCAGAAATGGTGTAGCCTTACCCCATTAACATACAGCCAGGGTGTGTAACCTTCATTCAGTTAAACATTATGCAATTAAATTTTTTACAATATGAAAAATGTTGAATTTTCTACAATGAAAAATCTTGAACTTTTTACTATGAAAAATATTCAATTTTTTACAATACAAAATGTTGAACTTTCTACAATGAAAAATGTTGAATTTTCAACAATGAAAAATGTTGAATCTAATCTCAGAGATCTAATCTATTATTCGAACAATTGAAGTAGAAAAATCGCAGTTCATATAATCAGTGTTGTCATGCAAGACAAATAGCACGCAATTTTAACCTCTAAAAATAATACTGATTGCCTTAACGCTTCTTTTTAATTTCCTGACTTCAGAACAAGACATATTAACAAGATCGTATACGATATATGAGGTACTGGGAGTATTATTTGGTAAAGAATGAAATTTGTATAATATGTGTACATTTGCACTATATTTGTACATTTGTATAATATTTGTACATTTGTATTATATTTGTTTGTTTGCATAATAATGATACATTTGCATGATAATTGTACATATACATTCGTGTGATATATGCAAAATAATTGTACATGTGTATAATATTTGTACATTTGCACAATATTTGTTTATTTATAATAATCGTTCATTTGTATTTACTGTACATTCGCATGATATTTGTACATTTGTATCATAATTATACATCTGTATAATATTTATACATTTGTATATTTCCAGTGCCGTTGACCTTGGAACTGACATGCTTGAATTGGACTGTCACATCACTGCTGATAACCAAGTTGTGGTGTCTCATGACAATAATCTCAAACGAGGGACGGGACAAGATGCGTTAATCTCCGATACCTTATATGAGGTAATAAACCTAAAACATGAATTCCAATGTTGGCTCATTTATTGTCCTCAAAAAAGTGAAGTATGGTAAAACCTGAATATAATGAACACCTATGAAACCACAAAAAGTGTTCACTGTAGGTAGGTGTTCACTACAGAGAGGGGATGTTATTCAGGAGTCAATGTAGAATATGTCTTGAAATAGTGTTCACTAAACACAGGTGTTCATTAGAGAATGGTGTTCTTTAAGACCCCAAGTGAAAAAAGTCAATGGGAAAATATTGACAATAAATAGGTAATACTCTATTAATTCTTAGCTAACAAATACCTAAAAAATTTATCATGCAAATTAGAGAGAATTACGTTAATAAATAGGTGTTAATAATAAGGTATTTGTTACCAGGTAATACTCTATTAATTCTTAGCTAACAAATACCTAAAAAATTTATCATGCAAATTAGAGAGAATTACGTTAATAAATAGGTGTTAATAATAAGGTATTTGTTACCAGGTAATACTCTATTAATTCTTAGCTAACAAATACCTAAAAAATTTATCATGCAAATTTAAAGAGAGAATTACGTTAATAAATAGGTGTTAACAATAAGGTATTTGTTACCATTCAACGCTCATGTAGAATATTGACTGATTATAAAATGAAAATTACATTGTAACAACAAGGTAGTGTTAGATGAGAATTATCAGAGTATTACCTATTAATTAGCTATTTAAAACCTATTTGTTGCATTTCTCTTACCCAAGATGTATTATGGTCTACTATACAAACCAAAAACATCAAATAATATGTAAAATTAGGTGGGTAGGGAAGTAAATGCGTGACGTACATGTATATGTAATTTTCATGAATATTCAAATCTGGCCATGCAAAGCCTATTAATTAAGTCATGGCGAAGTCCAAAGTTTTTTCAAAATTCTCTTGCAAAAACTACAGATTTTGTCAAAAATCTCCCACAAAAGTACCACCTTTTGCAAGATTTACCGCAAAAACTATTGCTTTTATTAAAAAAAACTGGAGATAATCCGCTTTTTTTAAAAAAGTACCCTTTAATTCAAATCTACCGTAAAAACTCCAGTTGTTTCAAAATTTACCTCAAAAACTCCCAATTTTTAAAAATCTACGGCGAAAACTACCAATTTTTATAAAAACTTCCCGTAAAATTACCAGATTTTGGAAAAATCTCCCGTAAAAATTACCACAATTTTTGGAAATCTCACGCAAATTGTTAATCATTTTAGTTTGGCCCTCTGTAAGATGATATAAGCAATTATTATGGGACATCACTGGTAATTTAACCCATTCAGAATTGTCCTGAAGGCCAGAAGGCTCACAGTTATTGAAGGACCCTCTAGGCCTCCAGCATGCAGTATTTATCTTCATATAATCTTTATAAAATACCTTATACATGTATTTTTACTGCATGGTACAATTGGTCATACACAACACATTTATGCTTGACCACTTTGACTGTATGAATAGAATTAAAATTTGGCCTTGATAAATTCACAAAGAAAAGAAGATTTGCCCATTTAAACTGGAATAACACAGCAATACTTACATTTTACCTCTCACAAAATAGACATGCAGACTGCTCAAGTATGTCAGTAACTTCTGAATCTATATTCGATTGGTCATTTTCATACTATTGTTATAAAATCATAAAATTACCCAAATCTCTTACAGTTGAACATTCTTTGTCAGCCATTTTTCTTTTGGTTTAAAAAGAGCGGGAAAGTTAATATTTTGCTAATACTCACTGCCACATTTCTTATAAGTCCAATCTTAAAGGAATATTCCTTGCCAGACCCTTTCTCTCTTGATATGGTAGCTATAATCATATATATAGTTTCCATATTTAGCAAAACATGGGAAAATGTTTTAATATGGTCAATATTGATCATTTAAAAATCTAGTGCTTATTTCCAGTGAGCTGCCATCTTTAAAGATTTCTTGCAGGAAGTGATGTCATCAACTCTCAACTTCTATAACCTTGCCCATAACAGTATAGGAAAGTAGCACAAAATCACTTCTTGACAAGTGATCATTACTTTCTGTGCAAAAATATTTTCAGGGCTTGTCAACTTAGAATAAAAGAAGGGATTTTCAGAAGGATTAAATAAGATACAAAGTTGAAAAAGAATATTTAGCTGGTTTTGTAATTCTTAATAGCTCCTCACCTAATGCTATATGCAAAGTTGAGAGTCGATGACATCACTGCCTGTGTGAAATTTTAAAAGATGGCAGCTTACTGGAATTGAGCATCACATTTCTAAGTGATCAAATTTGACCATATCAAAACATTTTTGCGTGTTTTGCTAAACATGGCAAGCATATATATGGTTATAGCTACCATATGAGGAGAGAGATGGTTTGGCAAGGAATATTCCTTTAACAATTAGCTAATTTTTATCACCTAGGGTAGCAAGGATGACAAAAGTTACCCAATTATTCAAAGAGCATTATAACATAGTTGTTAGAATAACAAATAGGTGTAATAAATAGCTATTTATTGGCATTCAACTTTCATTGATTTAATGCTCATTTAACAAATAGGTTAACTTTTATCAAAATGCATAATTATTAGACCAAAGTTAACAAATTATTACATGAGAATTGCCATTTCTTTTTACTTGGGACAGGTTTAACTACTTCAAGTTGGGACATAGAGAAAGACCTCTGCGCCAGAAGGAGTTTTCAAATGGTTACCATTTTTCATAATAAATGTAATCATTGATATAACTAAATACTAATTGCAGATATGGTTCAAATTTTACTGATGCCCTATGGATAGTTTTTTTTATTTTATTTTATTGAGTTTGGCTGTTTAATTTAAATTGGCTAAAACCTGAATATCTGTTTATCCACGTTGGCTATGTCTAAGAATTAAACTATTTAGATCTTTAAATATTTAGATACATAAGATCATTGTTTGGAATATTTGGGGTTATATGTCACCACCACATGGTAGGTGTTCAGCTTGGTGTTTGGCATTTGACATCTGTACCAAATGGCAGGTGGTGACATTTTGCATGTTAATGCTTTGTTTTCCTTATTCCATTCTCGAGCAGAGAAAATGTGGCCCATCGAATCAGCAAAAAATTTTTGGGAATCTATGTGTAATTTTAATGTTTGTCCGTGATTATTTTTCAGGATTTGCCTCTTTTAAAAGAATCTTTGAAGCTGGACTTCTATCAAAGTAAGTTTTGCTTAATGTTGTTGCCTCATACTGGCTTTCAATATAAACATCTCGTAAAGGGCAATCATTGGGCACAAATGTGTCTAAAAGGATCAAAAAATGTTCCAGTAGGTCAATGTGATAGAAGGAATACATGCGGGTCCAACTTCAGTGCTGTTTAGTTGTTGTTAAAAGTGATAATGGTTGTGAGCGCAAACAGGCATCACAATGATTTTGTCATCAAAATTCCAGGAAAACTGTTTTTCCATTCAATGTGAAATTTTTACAGATGCGAAGCATGGGTGGGGACATCTGATTGAATTTTGGGCAAGCTGTGTAATGATTCTGTCCATGTCTAAAATACAATGCATATAAATATTATGGCATGAATAATGCTTTTTTATAGCAATCAAATAGTTATCCTTATAACAGGTAAATAAATAATAAATGATAATTCATTATAAGAAGTTAATAAAAAAATCTGGAGTACAAATGGAGTAACTACTCTCGATTCCTTCAATACAAAGATTCAATTAACCAGTGAGAAAAATATCAAGGACACCATGTTTTAAAATTGAAAATATGATGAAAAAGAGAGGAATCTTTGAGAAATAAAGTAAACAGGCATGGAGTCTGTACTCTAAATTGTTTAGAAATGCCAGAAAATTATCGAGTTCATTTAAATTTTAGAAAGAAATTGTGTGAAAAAGGCATGATTGTCAAAGTATTTCTCTTGGGAAAAGGCAATATTGGGAAATTAATAGGATTGAATAAAGGATAGATTATAGACTTGTTGATAGCCATGTGACCTTTGATGTACCCTATTATGTTTGCTATCTTATGAGCGACTAGATATTAAAATTGCCAATATCAAAGAATTGTTTTATTGTATATTCCAGAATTTTATTGTATGTTCAATTCATTTATTTTATATTCCTCTATTTTATTGTATATTCCATTATTTTATTATTTCAATTCTTTTTTTCTATATTCCATCATTTTTTATTTCACATTCCACAATTTTATTGTAAGTTCAATTAATTTATTGTATATTCTTCCATTTTATCCTATAATCCAATATTTTATTGTACATGTATATTCCAGCACACTGTACCTCTGGATGTAAAGATAGACAGATTCCTCTACTTGAAGATGTCTTCAAACAATTCCCCAACTTGCCTATAAATGTAGATATAAAAATAGACAATGATGAACTAATAAACAGGGTAAATTAAACTTTATTTTTTGCAAAGCACTTTTTCCAGTTGCCATGACTAAATACTCAGTTTTGATTGGTCAAGGAGTGATCAACAGTTTTCATTATCAACATCTGTAGTGGTATATAATTGTATTATGTTACTCATCAACACTACCATTTTAAAGTTTTCAATTTTTGCATCTTTAATATATAGCTTCATCTTAAAATAAGAAATAAATCAGTTATCTAATCTTACCCAATCAGATTTGGTTAATCAAAATCCAAAATCCAATCAGAATAAAGGTAACAATATTAATTTTCATACCTTCGTATTTCATATTGTTTCATACTTTCATATTTCATATTATTTCATATTGATACTATCATAAAGGCCCCGAACAGCTACATTTTCCGGCCATTGTAATCTTTATAGCTTTAAAAATTGTAAATTAAAATAGTTGTCTAACTTAGTCAGAGTGTGGAAATTATTGCTTCAAACCTGTCCTCCTCAGGGTATTTGTTCTCTATTTCCAGGTATCTGAACTTGTAGTGAAGTACAATCGTTCTCACCTCACAGTTTGGGGAAACAAAAGTATTCAAGTCACAAATAAATGTTACAGTAAGGTATGTAAAAGATGTCCAAGATGCTCTTCTTTGCCTTTACAAATGTTCATATTTTTCAGAACCCAGATATAGGAATCCTCTGCAGTGCATCAGAGTGTATACGCATTGTGTTGCTCTTCTTTGCCTTTACAAATGTTCATATTTTTCAGAACCCAGATATAGGAATCCTGTGCAGTGCGTCAGAGTGTATACGCATTGTGTTGCTCTTCTTTGCCTTTACAAATGTTCATATTTTTCAGAACCCAGATATAGGAATCCTCTGCAGTGCGTCAGAGTGTATACGCATTGTGTTGCTCTTCTTTGCCTTTACAAATGTTCATATTTTTCAGAACCCAGATATAGGAATCCTGTGCAGTGCGTCAGAGTGTATACGCATTGTGTTGCTCTTCTTTGCCTTTACAAATGTTCATATATTCCAGAACCCAGATATAGGAATCCTGTGCAGTGCGTCAGAGTGTATACGCATTGTGTTGCTCTTCTTTGCCTTTACAAATGTTCATATTTTCCAGAACCCAGATATAGGAATCCTCTGCAGTGCGTCAGAGTGCATACGCATTGTGTTGCTCTTCTTCGCCTTTACAAATGTTTATATTTTTCAGAACCCAGATATAGGAATCCTCTGCAGTGCGTCTGAGTGCATACGCATTGTGTTGCTCTTCTACACAGGTCTACTGCCTTTTATACCTCTCAGGGGACAATACTATGAGATGATAATGCCAAGTATTATCTTAGAGTAAGTTGATTTTTAGTTGTTGTTTCTTTTAGTTTCTATGGTTTGTAGGTAATGGTAATTAGATAAAAAAAACTAATATCTTCCACTCAGCTCGCATCAGTCCTGTCCTGATGCAGGGAAGACCAAGCGTTAGAAGATGAAATTCTAAAAGAAACAACTTTTCAACTTAGCCTAATATGCGATCTATGTTTTAGATTGGAAAGGATTTTGTATTTTAAAATTGTCAAATACATTTTGATAGGATAAGTAAGGTTACAATAAAGAAAAGTCAGTTATTATGTTTTGACGTCTGTAAAAAATGTTCTGACGGTGTTAGACATCTGTAAAAAAATGGCAAACAATGAAAAGTCATGAAAAGTCAAATTGACATCACAAATTATGATGAGCCTCTCATGAAAAGCTTACTGAGTGTGGGGGTGTTCCATCTTATATATTGCACCCCTATCATGTTTTAAAATCAGACTGCATTTTTCATTTTCACCCTTTTTGACATTTATCAGATTAAAAATGTAATATTTTGTTTTTTAGTTTGGTGAATTCATTAAACATTAAACCGATTTCACACATCTTAAAATATAATTTGTGTAAATTAGATCAAAAAATCTGTGAAGGATATATAAGTTGCTCTGGGTCCCTCAAAGGGCTTTTATATGTGTCGAAAACATCCACCATTCTGGGTATTCAAAAGATAAAATGACCTCAATGTAACAATAGACTATGTTTGAGGTTTTTTAAGTATTAAATATCTAAAATGTCATGAAAACAGTATCCGGTTGATTCCCCATATTTGAAAATCATGAGCATTGAAATATTTTTTTTTGTATTGAACAGATAAAACTTTATATCATGAAATAATTTGAAATTGTATATTTATCAAACTCAAATAGTTGAGATGAATTTGATCCACTACATCTATGTATTATTCAAGGTAAGAGGAGCACCTCCTAATCCCACCTTGTCATTTTACCCAAATTAGCCACCTGCTGGTGAAACTTGTAACAACGGGCTTGTAACTACTGTACCTACTAGCGCCTTGGTATAATCACCAATCTTGTCTTTTCCAGTAAAACCCACGCCCCAACATTGACGTCTAAAGGAGTGCGGTTGTTGATCCGCATTTTAGATTCGATGATAATGAATGGTTCATTAATACGTCATCTTAACAAGCGTGGTATTCAGGTGAGTCATTATTCAGGGCTCTCTTTACATTGAAACCTATGAGGGGCAGAACCTGTATAACATAAAATGCTTCCCCTGTATTTCTATGTCCGCCATTAAAAATTCTCCACTAAAATTCTTTAAAACGTTCCGCAAGAGATAACAAAACCGTTAAAATGAAAAATTAATTTGGTTTTAAAACGACAGCAAGATTCTCCACACAAAAAATCCTGGGCAGGACGCTGCAATTATTGTATCGTAACCTCCCTGTGGTCATGATGACTTTATTGCTGCTGAAGGGCGATAGAAATCATTTTTCAATAAAGATGGCAGTACAATCTTTTTTTACTGTATATATATGACAGGTGCAATAGTTTCAATATTGTTATTATCTAAATCTGTAAATATGAGGCTCAATTGCTTAATATTGCATATAATACTCTTTAATTCCCATTAACTCCTTTTACTTGTTACAAATCTTCACAAGTGTGTGCAAAAGTTAAAAATAAAGATTAATTTGAAAAAATATTTCATTTCAGACTTACTTCTGGGTGCTAAACGAAGACTCTGAGTTTGAAAAAGCATTTAATTATGGTGCAGTAGGTGTTATGACAGACTTTCCCACAAAGCTGAAAAATTGGTTAGAGCTACATCCGCAAAATACCATGACACGTCAAGATGAACACTCAGTGCAAAATGGACGTTTGTTAGAAACAAATTAGAAATTGATGATATTAAAAATTGAAGTAGTCTAGCTACAAGCCCTTTTAACTCAAACACGGGTGTTAAAACACGAATATACCATGAGCACATGCTTTGAGGATCCGCATTGTTTGAACCTACTGCCGAGCACACTTATACATTAAGACCCGTTACACAGTCATGATACCGCCGAGCAAGCTCATTGCATCATCGGGTCTGCTTTACCCCCGTGTCAAAGCCAGTTGTTAGAGTAGATATTCCAGGATTGAAGCGAGACCAAAATTAAAGATGTTTGATATCACTCCCCTCCAAAATTTGCATTATTACTTTGAGATTTGATCCAAAATTCAAAATGGCTAGTTTCAGAATGAGAATCTTTTTGAAAAAGTTATTAGTAAACAGATATAAGACATATTTGTGTATTGTGATTTGTTTCCCTGTGGAGTTGCTGTTTCTATAGTAACCAATGCCTTGGCTTTATTAAGTCACAATCAAAAGTGCGAATAAATTTAAGCTTTAGTAAAAAGTGTAGTGCAGTAGTGTAATATGACAGTCTAGTCCTTCGTGATATTATGCAATGATTACCTATTTCAGCCTGGCCAAGTTCAGATTATCCAAACTCAAACTTGCTGATCTTAGATTGGCCAGATATGATTAAATTCACAATAGCAAGCTTCAAAGTGGTTAAAGTTTAACTGGCCAAATTCAAATCGATCGATACCAGATTGGCCAATTTGAAATTGGTTGAGTTCAGAATAGCCAAGTTTAGTTTAGCCAAATTTAGACAGGTCAAGTTCAGACAGTCCAAATTTAAATTTACAACTGTCCAAATTTAGACTTAACTGAGGTAGTTTCGCTATTTATACTTCCTACGATATTCATTTAATGTAAAAAAGTTTTTTAAAAAAAGTACAGATTTACAAGGCTCTAGTCTGAGCTCTTGAAGAGAGCTGTGTCCTCAGTAATATAAAGTAGGACATTGTTAAATAGAATTCTTAAGAAAAAAAGCACATGTAGTAATAGTGCATTGCATTATTAGGTGATAGCTTGTAGATCTTAAATGCTATGCTCTGTTCTTCATATTGTATGTACTTAAGTAATATGTATTCTATTTCTTTCATTACCAGGGTAAAGTATGCAGGATGCACACGTTTTTGTTTGTTTTCTGGCTATTTCAAAATGGCTTAAGTTGATTTTTAAATCTATACAGTTAAGTATGAATGAATGGTGTAATTGAAATGCAATTAAATTCCATATCTGAACGCCTATCTTATTAGAACATCCCTCAAATGAATAAGAACACCTTTTTGTAGAGGTGTCACAGATACAAGATTTTGTTCCGACCCATGGAATTACACTCTGAGCCATTCCGATTTTTTTGTTGTTCCTGACATCTGAACTTTTTGTTATCTTCCTTGATTTCCTGTGTAGTAATCTGAAATTTGAACATTTGTTAATCTTAATATTTTTGACCAGGCCTAGTGGCGTTCAGATAAGAGAAATTATACTGTACAGGTATATGTAATATTGTTAACTCATATGACTACATTAAGTTTTGAGTCATAGTAAAATGCGTCAATAATGTTGAAGAGAAAACAATTTTTTGCATTAATAATTCCTTGAAGTGTGCAGTATACAGATATTTATATATACGAGTAGATATTTGTGTGCATTATAGCGATAGATATTCACGAGTAGTACTTCTATATATCTATTCATATGTTATATAGAATATATCACTGCGATTCATACATGTATGGAAATGCATATGTAATACATATATATTCATTTATAGATTTGTGACCGGTAGTGTTTGGTATCAGTCACAAGTTGTTACACGTTTGTAATAACAACATTTTGTGATACCTATAGATATGTAACATGTTTTTTAATTGTAATTGTAACATTCTCACTGTTGAGAATGAAATAGATATTTAGATTTGATTCTACAGTGCAATTTCTTAGAAAAACGTTGAATCCCTTCGTTTTTAGATGAATGTTTCATAGGGATTCCAAAATTTTTTTTTGCTTTGTCATAACACCAACAGATCTACAAAAGGACATCATCAAAAATCTGATAAAAATATTTTACTGAGATGAACTTTAACTTCATATTTTTTAACTTGTCTCTCATAGGTCGACACCGGTCGGACCTAAATATTTTAATTATACTTTTTTTAAAATTGTATTTTCCATTTTTGGTGTGAGACTCAAATAAATCAATAAATATACAGTAACATACATATAATTTTTGTTGTATTTTATTACTGTAACAACGTATATATCAAGTCATGATGTGCAGGCATAAAATATTATCCGATGTTCATAAACAATAGGGAGTTAACGCTTGCAATGTTTTTCACAACCTAAACGTGAACGGAAAATATTTAAGCGATGTAATTTATATGGGCGATTGGTCATACGTATAGGTTGGCGTTTCGATTTTATATGCAAGCTTAAACTCCCTGTCATCACTGCAAACTTAAAGGATGTAATTCAAAAAATTTCCACAATAAATAGATGAAGCCTCCAGCCAAAGCTATGTTTAATATCATGAGTGTCATGTTAAATGTATAGAATCCATGAAATACATTATACAATCCATGAAATACATCATTTATTCCATCATGGGCATTCAATAGATTGAAAGCACATGATTCCATGAAATACATTTTACAATACATGTTATATCGGGTGGATAAAAAAACGTCCCGAACTTTGAGAGTTAATATCTCAGAAACTATAAATAGTATATAAGTGAAACTTTCAGTATTATAACTTCATCCTATTGCCTCTCAGACCTGAAAGTTTTAATGCAGTACCTTTAGTATTAACAACACAACGTTAAAAATAAAAAGTATGGTCCAAAAATGAAATGCCGGGCATTAAACTTGTCAACTAGGTGTTGAGTTGTAAATGTGTCTTCTTGGAATAGAAAAAACAGTTATATTATGTTGTCTAGCTACATTGTAGACATCGCCTAGTCAAAATATACATTCCTGAAAGTCCATTGGTGTACTGTCTTGCAATTGTACTGTCTAAGTTGAAGCCCGTTTTCGAGAACGTAGTGAGAACTAGTTTGGTGTGGTAGTAGGGGAATAATAGACAGGTTCCAATTTCAGAATATCTCAAGGGAAAAAGTTTATGAGGCATTTTTCAGAAAAAGCAACAGACCTATTTTTTCTGGATCAGTTTTTCATGCTGATAAAGATATTAAAAGATGACAGCTCAACGAGGTGGTCACGACACTGAATTTTAGCGTTTTTACCCCCCTAGGAAATTATCTTAGGGGGTACTATAATATTAGTTCATAACTCAAAGGATATATAAACTATTGTTCTGAGTTCTACAGCATACATTGTTAGTACAGAGATGAATACTATCCTTAAATTATAGGTTGATATCTTTGTTGGTTTCGAAAAAATACAATTTATTAGAAAAAAATATGCAATTTTTGTCATTTTTTCTTGCTTATTTTATATTTGTAGCTTCAAGCAAAATATGATAACTTTAACAGCTCAAAGTAGTATTCTAACAACATTCCCAAGCTATGTGTGATATTGTAATACATCTATTATAGTGATGAAGTACTATTTTGTAATTTTAATATGACTTTATAGTGCCCTACCCCTGGTAAATAGAAGAAAGTTGGTGTGGTTTTCTTCTGGTTTTAACATTTTATTGACTTCTTAGTTGAAGATACAATCAATTCTGTCAGTTTACCATGAGTAGCTTTACAATGGTTAACTATTCCCATGAATAGAGGGTTGGGACCTCAAAAATACCAGAACTGTTAAGTGGCATTCTTGGGCATCCCTCTTCAGAGCATTTTCCTTATACTCCGATGAAATCTGCAGGGGATACTATAAGAAACCTATATATCTAAGATACTAATGAAGATACTGAATTCAAATTTTCAGGATTTGGTCCTGGTATGATAGGTAATCTGTATGACAAAAAGAAAAAACTCTGTTGCCATAGTAACAAGAATACCACACTATTTGTTTCCTAAGAAATGTGTTTTAAGAGGTTTTGTCATTCTCTTCATATTTTTAATTCTAAATATGTCTACAATGTAGGATGATTAGAATTATGGTAAAGTAATCTTTTCTATTGTTTTATTGTTCTCTAAAACAGAAGTTGCTATGGCGACACATAGATCATAGAAAAAATGCTGGGATGATCGCTCTATTTGTCAGGAAATTAAAATGGAAACTGAAAAATGAGTTTCTTCCCACCGAATAGCAATTAATTTGGTAGACCATGGCTGACACGCACAAGAGAAAACGTTTATCAGTTCTATGTCATTTTGTTTTTTTTGTTTTTTTATTTATCGTGGTCTGGGACTTATAACACCTAATACAGAGTCTTCTCCAACTGCAAAGGAAGGCAAGATTTTATTAATGAACATTCATATATCTCAACAAATATGGCCAAAGATTTGGACAATGATGAGGAAACTCTGAGGGAAAATTAGACGAAATATTAATGTGAGTGGTCCAAAAATAACACTAACATGTTTTGGAAAAGTTATGCTCTCGGATGACTCAGTGCTCATTTAAGGATAGTCTGAATCAGGTTAATCACGTTTTTAACCTAATTGCACCCCTTCCCCAAACCCCCAAATTTTGACTAAATTGTCGAAAAGTAGCAAACAACATTCATTAAAGATCAATATGGCTATTTCGCTTCTATGTCATAAAGATATGATACGATCTCAGGTCAATCAATAAATTTCACAAGTGACACTCTATCTTATGAAGAAAATACTATCGTATTTGAAGACATGTCAAAAATTTGGTTACCCTTTGCATTCGTTTGACTTCACTTCTTAAAAAAGAGCTTCGTCTTCACTCTTTCAAACTAAAATAAACCTGTGAACTCACCGCCCCAATCAGTGTTCGTCGGCCAAATTTGACATGCGCATATTTAATTTGATAATAAAGTCAATTGGACTTGTAGATATTTCACTAGCAATCAACCCATCAATATATTTTTTTAAAGTTGTTGACCTCATTTTCACCAAAAATGGAATCATTTTAACAATGTTTGATGCATTACTATTCTTTATTTTAATGTATCAAATAGCTCTTGAAAAGAAACTGAATTCCCCTAAGATTAGTGTTCCCCATGTTATTTCCCCTTTGAAAAAATTCGTGCTGTCCATTGGTTTCAGTTCATTTTGGTCATCCAAATTCAGTGTCTTTAAAGTCCCTGGAGCAATCCACTTTTCCTCTTAGGAAATATAACATGTCTCAAAGCATATTTTAATTATGCATCCAACAATATAATTAAAGGTTGCATCTTTGGTAAAAACTAGGTCATCATTTTTACTAAAAAGTATGTTGATTGGGCCATTCCCTTTAATATCAGTCAGGTCTGATTAATCATTATATTTACTCTTCTTGAAGATAATGAATAGATCTAAAAGATATACCGATGTTCATGGTCAGAAAATATTCATAATTCAAGTTAGAATTGACCTTTTTTATATAAATGGAAAATAGATGGCATCAAGAAGTTATTCCATTTGGATCAACTTAAAACATCATTGGAATGTAACTATATGATCTTATTGACATGTGGATTGTGATTTCACATTAAAATTGTGATCCTTGTAAGAGTAAATGAACTTTTAAAGGTTTTTCAGCATTTTGTCAATGGGGATTTAGCCCGACCTTTTTTAGACAACCAGAAAATCATTAGAATTTGAATAATGGTAAATAACAGTGCAAATCAAAGTTGTTTTGATAGAGAATTACTCACAGAATTCAAATATGCCATCAGATGGAAGAAAACGTTAGTTTTTAATGGTTAAAAATGCTGATCTCCTAAAATCTCATTAAAAACAAGACCTTAACGAGATTTCAAAGCTATATGGAAAAAGGACCATTTTCTGAAGTTGTTTGCGATAACCTACATGCTCCTTTATAACATTATTATGTAAATACTATCAAATGCTTTAGTCATGACAGTTGAAGTAAACTGACGTCTTGGTATTTAAATGCAGAATCAGATCTATGTAAACAAAATTGAAAGCAATTGAAAGTACAATCTCAAATATAATATCTCCCAAAAGATCCACAATATAAATTATTTATTGGTAATGTTGTTTAAAATTCAAAGTGTAAAAAGGGGGAAATGTTCAAATTCTCCCAAATAATAATAAATAAGTTACACTAAGTTATACAAGTGTGAGGCACCATCAGTGGGAAAGTCATCTTTGGTTAATAAAAAAGATTCTTAGCTACTTTTCTAACATATGGCTGTGATGCATCATGGCTTAATGAGGACTCTGCTATATGGTCAGATAATGAGAACTAACAGTTTTACGGAACTTTTGCCATGTTTTGCACATTGTAAATGACCCTTCTGAATGGGTTATAAAGGAGGTATATATGGCTCAAATGACTCGTGCCCTAGTACATGGGGCACTGAAGTACATTACTTGTGCATGATGACCACCATAGTCTAGTTGCTCAAATGAGATCAATTGATGATTATAATGTTTAGACTTTATGTCAATGTCCTCTCTAGTATGTGATCACACTAGATTTCATTATGATACATGTACTAAATTGAAAACTTACATATAAAATATCTTAAGTCCTATATTCTAGTAATAAATGAATTAGAATGTCACCTAACATTTGATGATGGTATGAATTTATTGATTTGGTGTCTATCAATACATGTTTCTAACTTAATGCTGCAAAACGATAAAATTCACCACATCCACTTTCTTCAATTTTCCAGAGGTAGGGCACTATAAAGTCATATTAAAATTACAAAATAGTACTTCATAACTAAAATAGATGTATTACAATACCGCACATAGCTTGGAAATGTTTTTAGAATACTACTATGAGCTGTTTAAGCTGTCATATTTTGCTTGAAGCTACAAATATAAAATTGGCAAGACAAAAATTGCGTATCTTTTTCCTGTTTATTGTATTTTTTCTGAGACCAATAAGGGTATCAACCTATAACTTTAGGATAGTATTCATATTTGTACTAGCAATGTATGGTGTACAACTCAGAACAATAGCTCATATATCCTTTGAGTTATGAACTAGTTTCATAGTACCCCCTAAAATATTTTCCTAGGGGGGTAAAAATGCCAAAATTCAGTGTCGTGACCACCCCGTTGAGCTGTCATCTTTTAATATCTTTATCAGCATGAAACATTGATCGAGTGAAAATAGGTCTGTTGCTTTTTCTAAAAAATGCCTCAAAAACTTGAATTATTAGAATTGGAACCTGTCTATAAAGACAATAACAGAAAATATGACAGTTGAATCAAATTGTGACGCCCCTTTTGATTCTCGGTAATTTTTGTCACATTAAGTAATGCCTCTATCAAAATTATATGTTACAAACGCTGGGGTAATATCAATTGACAATTTGTTTAACATAAATCCAAATTATTCAGAACATAGTAGAATGCCCTTGTTTAATAATATGACACCTTTCAAATGGTGAATTGAAACCTCTGGACAAATCGTCTTTTATTTCTTGCCCATTCTTTTTATAATAGCATGTTATATTATGGCTATAGCTAGTGACGTCATTTACAATTTCACTTCTCCACTTATTTCACTTCTTTAAAAAGACGTTAGGTGTGTTGACTTTTAATGCATCTTTAAGTACAATTTTTTTTAGATGTAATGAATCAGTCATTAATTTTATTCAGTTTTTGATTTTTGTGCTTGCATTTTATGCATTTTATATAACAATCTAACGAATTATGTTTTAAGCATTGGATTTGTATTTCTTCTTAGTGTTATGCCATTCTTTATACCGAAACATAGAATAAAATGCACTTTTAGTTTTACCACATTGATGCCTGGGTCACATATGCTCCGATCCATCGGCCGCCGCCCGGCCGATTGAGTGTTTTGTTCAATATTGTATTCAATTTTGAACAAAATACTCAATCGGCCGGGCGCCGTAGTGAAAATCGGAGCAAATGTGACCAAGGCATAAATATGCAATGCCCTTTGGTAAATGCGTATCGATAAAAATCTATATTGAAAAGTCCAGTGTTTCATTATCTAAACTTGATTATTTCACTTTAAATATTTATTTTTATAATCTAGTCTTTAAATTACTATGAAGTTGAGTTAGATGCTGCACATATTTTAATTAGCGAGTGTGGCTGACAGTAATAGCTATGACAATTAAATCAAAATGATACCAGTTCGATATTTCTAAATGGACAATGCATATTTATAGTTTCACCAAAAGTGATTTATCTTTCACAGTTTTATTAATTTGCAATTCAATTCACTTTTATTTGAAGTAATGGGATGCTAGCAACTGGTTTACCACATCCTTAATTTATCGCTATGGAAACGTTGGAATGTTCAAGACAAATGGGACCCAACCGCGATGGGGTGCAAATGTATAGGCCACATCAGCAGTATTTCAAACTTTTTGGCTGCTGGTATTAAATGAGGAAAATAAGGCTAAAATATTGGCTTTATGACATTGTCAAAACGGAAGCCAAACGCTTGTTCAGTGTTACCATATCTTAACGCTATGAAGTGATTTTGGTGTCAGGACAGTTCAATATTCCTTTCTTTTTTTGAAGGGAACAAAAATGTTAGGGCACGGACCTTCCTTTCCGAACACTATGTCTTTCATTTTTGTATGTTTTGGTATATTTCGTACTAGTTAATTATGTAGCAGAGTGCATTAAAATGTACTCCTCCCCCATAATACAAGACTCATTTTCACAATGATGCTAACACGGCAAGTGATACTTCATTTAAACATATTAAAGTCGTCATGATATATGTTGACGACAAATCAATAGAGACAAAAAATGAATCCATTTGAAATTAAAGTATAGTGTAGGATTTAAACCAGATCAATACATTTAAATGGACATTAAACTAATTTATTTTGTTTTATATCCATAACAAGTAGAAAAGGGTTTGAAGAACTTTGTTTATTGCTACCATATTGTTTTAATTAGCCCATTAACACAACGTCTCTGTTCACTTCGAAACAGTTATTAAAAGAACTAAAACAAAATAATAATGAATATAATTTATTATTTCGGTTCATTTATTCATTTCAGTAACTACTGTGTATATCATTGACTAATTTATTTCAAAATTGACTACTGTATACAATTGTGATGTATTGATTTTCATTTTTACACAATAATTATGATTTTTCTATCTTTAAATACAAACAAAGTAAATATATATTATTATTACCCCACATAAGCGTTCGGGTTTTTGCATCTTTTTTAAAATACATTTTATTTTTGTCACAGAGCATTCGAGATGAATACATATATATTTATATACATACATATGTCCATGCAAATAGCAAAACATTTAGATGATCATCTTATCAAGACTCATTCTCATACAAAAGTGTAGTTTAAAATGCATTTAGTATTAAAAATCGAATTTGTTCAAATGTCCAATATATGTAGAGGCAAATGAAACTATAATACCCCGAAAAAGTTCGATCACGACTTTCAATATTTAACCGAGTTAAGATTTGATATTTCGCTTACATTAATGCAAAGTAATTTATGACATGAAAAATAAGTATTATTCTTTTTGGTATGATACTATGAATTCTATATGCAAATTGAAATGAAGTGCCATAATGTAAACCGAATAAACTGAAACGCATATCACTGATATTGCAAAAGAATATGCGTTACTTGGATCCACGTAAACACCTAGAAATATATCAAACTTAAATTATTTCCTTTACAATGCCCTTTTTATTGCCTTATTTAAATAAAAGGATATCAGCACAAAGAAACATATTACTTTTTACGAACACATATTGTTATTATGTATATTTGATGCGTATGAGGAAATATGCCTCGATTTTTGAATGAATTAAAGGGTTATATTAACTCAAATTGACTCCATGGACAAACAGAACCCGACTGCGATCTCATCGACTCGGCAAACAACTCGTTGGAACCATGAAGCTCGAGGTACTTCTTGTAGTTATGCTTGTTACGCTTGCTGTGAATGTGGAAGCGAAAAGGAAGAAAAGAAAAGGAAATTCTGCATCAGTGACATGTAAGAAAACAGACATAGAAAAAATCGTGACAAAACTAAACGAGCTTAAGACTGAAACCCAGAACTGCAGCACAGGAAACGGAGAAGATGTCTCTTTAAATGTTGACATAGCAAACGATGTGACAAAGGCCAAGGCGACAATTGATGAAGTAAAGACGGGTGTTGATGAGATAACTGGTGGAATATCTACGATTAAAGATCTTTTGAAAGAGATGCAGAGTTCTAAATGTGAATCACGAGGTGAACAAACAGGTGAGTGGCAACACTTAAAGAATAAAGAATCATTTTATATTAGAAATATAAAAGCATGAGTGTATGTACTAACACAAAAACATAATGCAAAGAGGCCGGATAAAGTCACAAAACGTAGATTTTACAATATTACTATCACAATTGTTTTAGATGAATGTGTTGGTGAATTTTTGATTTCTGGACCAAATCACAGAGTCAATGACAGTGGTTTGACAGCCTCGACTGAATGGGATGGTTACCATGGACCAAGTAGGGCAAGACTTGGCACACAAGAAGAGTAAAAATATACTATAAATTACGATAAAGATAAGCTTTTTCGTATCGACCTATGGTATCCCACTGTGGTTGCAATGCGGTGCATACTTTAGTTTTAATTTGATGCGTATTGTAATATGGTACACGTAGGTTATGTAGTTCCGATACGGTACGTACTGTAGTTCCAGAATGGTACACGCACAGTTGAAATATGATACGTACTGTAGTTGCATGATGGTACATACTGTAATTTCAATATTGTTCCGTAGTTGCAACGTGCGTATTGTATTTGCAATATGGTAATTACTGTGGTTGCAAAGAAGTCCTTACTGTAGTTACAATATGATACGTACTGTTGTTACAATTATGTTCATAATGTAGTTGCGATACGGTGGGCAATGGAGTAGTTGAAATATGATACGTACTGTAGATGAAACATACCATAATATTTTCCATATTTCAGACTTCCATTTCCCGGATCATGGTCCCCATTAACGCTTGATGCGAATCCATGGATTCAAGCAGATTTGGGGAAATTGATGCAGGTGAATGGTGTTGTTACACAGGGTAGAGCGGCTCATGCCCAGTGGGTGACGTCCTATAACGTTTCCTACAGCGAAGCTGGCAGTTCATTTGAGTTCATAGAGAAGGATGGGAATCAGGTGAAAACATTTTATATGTGGTGCATATTTATGTGACACATTATTGCTTTTCAGATGTATATCAGGGGCGTAGTAAGGGCCGTAGTAAGGGGCGTAGTAAGGGCCGTAGTCAGTCTCAAACCAGGGGAGGCAAATTTGAAAATGTGAAGAATAGAGTTGAGGCAATATTATAATAAATAAACTTCATGATTGTCTACGCCCATTATATAAATCTTTGAGAAACGCTAATTTGGTAATGGGTCGAATAAAATAGGATAAACTCCATGGTCATACACTAGGAACAAATCGTAGAGTGTGATAATCAGTTTCCGATACCATTCAATGTCTACTTACAATATCTACAGGCAATATCAGTGTCGATATGCTCTCGCTTCAAAATGTTCAAATATTTCGATTTTGAAACATTTGTATAATTTGTATATTAATGCTATCCTCAGTCAGATGTCTGGCTACTTGACCTGCAAATTGTAAATTGCAAAGAACATATTCAATCATGAACCAGCCGAATCGAATATTTTTTGGAACAATGACAGGAAAGCACCTGTTCTCAACTCGTTTGAACCTGTGCAAGCAAGAAAATATTTAACCATGAATGAATTGAATCGAATATTTTTCAGATCTTCAATGGTAACAGTGACATGTACACTCCTGTTCTCAACTCGTTCAAACCTGTGCAAGCAAGGTACATCCGCATCAGCCCTATGACATGGAACAACCACATTTCCTTGCGATTTGATGTGATTGGATGCGATGATTAACAAACTTTATCTTCCACAGTCCAGTAATGTGATTCCATTCCACCTTCTCTTGATTATGGCATATCAATCACAGTGACAGGCAACCGACTAGTGTTGTTTCTCATGAATCATCATTACGGGACCAGAATATTTTAATAATTACGGTTGCACCATTTTGAAAACAATACACATGGACATAACGGAGTCTTATATCTTTAATTGTTCTAATGAACAAAATTATTACAAGTTCATCGTTCAAATGTAATTTTAAGTGACATAATACAATATGTGGAAATAAAACTAAATTGTTGTGTTACACTGTTCCTCGGTGAATGTGTTTCCAATATGTAAGGAAGTGCGATGAAAACTTAGTGAGGAAACTTACGGGTGTACGATTTTTCTTTTTCCACGATTTCACGAGATTTAGACAGAGTTTTGACAGGTTTTTCAGTATCATATGTTTAGGAAAATCTTATCGTTTGTGAATTACTCAAGAGGCCCCAGAATGATGAAATGATATTGTGTGTAAACTGAACGGTTAAAAGTGCAGATGTTAATCGTTTTCAACGTTCCGCTTACACGATGATTCTAGCGTTTCGTGATCTATGCGTTTGCAAACGCTTAGATTTTCTGAAACATGATGCTGAGAAGGTGGTGTCGATTTTGCCTTCATCTTGTACTTCCGAGGCTGTTACATTTTGTTACCGGAAAGATTGAAGCGTTCCAACAATCTTTTTTAGCTAACCCTATATTTTCAACGGCCATAAATGGGGCATTCGGCGTTTTAGTCCGTGGTATGAAATTCCTAGGACGCCTAATCAAGAAGCTGATATTACGCAATATAGTGCAGCGATATTTGACCTAATATTTACATACCAATTACATGTCCAATATTATTTTTAATTATACACGTTCAATATTCTTCGGGCTTTTGGACTAAATTATGCCTGTCATTAGCAGGGGTTGAAAATATTAGTAAAAACTAAATTCCCATTTTTACAATTTGGAGTACTGTATACTACAAATATATGAAATCAATTTTGAATGTTTTAGGTTGCTAAACTACAAATTTGGTGCTATTTTTTAGAAATACAAAAATTACGTAATCAGCACATCAACATTTTGATTTATTTCTTCAATATTGGTGATGTAAATGGTATCAATGAATGATTTTTATATGATAATGAAATATGCTAAAATGATTTAGGATGCAGACAAGTCCAATTAAAATTCTTTAGAATTGAGAAACTAAGAATGAGTTGTTTTCAAATTCATTGCCAGATAATCAAAACATTATCATTTTGAAGCTTGAACTTTTGGCATTTATGGGGAAATAGGACAAATGACCCTTAATCTTTGACCTTTCACAGTGATTTTACCACAATGTGACTTTTTAACAACAAAATAGCCAATTTCTTGAAAATAAAGAGGACTCGGAAGATGGAGACTCCAACATTTTTTCCAAATTCATAATTAATGCGCATACACCCTCACAACTTGACGTTATGATCATGCAATTTAATCTAGCTTTAATAATGGTTTGCGGTATTCATTTAGACCTCACAGCACATTACTTGCAATAGTTAAATATCAGAAATAATTACGTAATCTATTGGTCCTCGCATAATCAATTATCTTTCCTGTAAAGTGAACCATTTGGAAAAATCTCGACCGCCATTTGTTCAGAAAATCCCGATATTTCCCGATTTAAAAAATATCCCGATTTTTATTTTTTTACTTGACAGGTATGAGATACTGAAAAGCTAGGTATTAGGTATACATTACATGAAATTTATCCTCATATTTATTATGTTTACAAATTGTGAAAAGAAAATTGTGCTTTTATATCCTTTTATTTCTTAATTTATATTTGAAGTAAAACCAGTTTATCACATTCTTGCAAAGTCTTCACAATATTTAACACCATTACATAATGATTACACAGTTATAATTATATTTTTTATAAATTTTATCATCATTTTCTCTCATGATTCTCCACCAGTTCACACCATAGCTGTCATTAACCTTGAAAACATAAACAATAAAAAATGTAACATAATTATCTAATTATCTGGAATCTGACCCATATTTGAAAACAAACAAAATGGTACGTCTTGTTATACCGGGTGCGGGGGCTATGTCATTGAGAGGCCTCACTGGAATGTCCCTAGCCTCTACTATAAGGTTATACTCTATAGAAGTTTAGTCCATTACGATAGTGACCTGCTTTTAATGCTTGGTTCCCATTCACACTCACATATCAAACTGGTAATTCATCATCAGGGTCCACGTTGACTGGCAAACAAATGCATCAGGCAAAAGCAGACCCATTGTGAAATATGTCAGTAAGGAGTAAACTTCATTTTACATATGACTGGATTACTATTAATATAATTGAAATTACACTGTTTATAGTGCAATTATAAAAATCAAAATTGCGCATTATTTGCTTCAACTTGTTAAATATATTACCTTTAAATTGTAATACAAATGTCATTTTGTATTTATGCATCTTTGCAAGATAAGCTTTGAAAGACGTTTACTACATTATTAAACACGCTGTGAGGGAGTTAAAGACAATACATCCAAAATGAAGCGGGTGGTAATCTATGTGCTATTCTTGTTTGCAACAATCGTGTGTATGTCAAGGCTGGACAGCCAAAATGTACAAGAGCAGATATCAAGAGTCTGAAAAGTTATATATATGATAGACTGAATGAGCTGAAGAGACAAAATGAAGGAATCCTTTCTGCACTGAGTGAGGTGGAAGAACGTAAGTCAAGCGTGATTTGTTTTATTCTCCATTATTGTTGATTAATGCCGAGGCAACATTTGCTCCTTTATTCAACACCGGCGACCGATGAGTATTTTGTTCAGAACTAAATACAATTTTGAACAAAATACTCATCGGCCAGGTTTCGGTGAAAAAGGGTAGGAGGTCCTACTTTCCATTGATTATATGGTGACCTAAATACAACTCTTTCCCTTATTGTAGTATCCACAATCAGGGCCAGTAAGGCCCTTTAAGAAAGGGGACCATAATCCCCAGGGGACCATAATTTCTTTCACACCGGTACTTTAAAGGAACGGCATTAGCTATGCATGTTATTCTAATTCAGCAATAGTTTGCCTAGGTCGCATTCTGCATTGATTATAGACATGTCTTTGTATGAACTGTACATACACATTCGATAACATTATGGTGTTGAACTTCATATTAATTTATTGTAATTGAAAATAATCATCATCTGATTCATCTGCATTTTCATGAAAAATAGATACACTCAGAATTAACATTGTACACACCAAAATGTGTCATTTTTTTACAACTATATTGAAAGGCAATTTTGTTCTCCTTTTAATCATATTCCTGGCAGTGCGCAGTCTTCAATATATTCCGAGACACTGCATGGGCATTTGGCTTTTAATGGAACAAGTTTGATGTAAAACGGTGCAGTATCAGACACATAATCCTTGATTTTCAAAGCTGTAGTAGGTCTAAAATTCAAATTAACGATCGTAGTAGTTACAGAAACGAGAGTTCTGACGCACCTTTAACATTGAGTCCTATGGGGAGGGACACGATTTTTCATATTACCCTCCCTAACATGGGCTCCAATGGGGAGGGACATCTGTGAGCCTCCCTGAGCTCGGGAGGCACATACGGGGACCCCACCCCTCCCCCCTCGGCGTGGTGGCGTGTACATATTTCGGGAATCTCGGGCCCTAAGGTAACGGACGCCCTACCCCACGTTTGTACGTTTACTGTAAGGATACTATTCGAATTCCCGCCAAAAACAATAAATCGATAAACCAGTACGCGTCGTAAATGTCACTGCCTTATTTATAAAGTGCGGCCCAGGCGGATTATCGATTACCTATCAACCAGGCGTTTCGTACTCGCGAGGTCTTATCGTTTTAAGGTCATCCAGCTGTCAGTTTACAAAACAAATTACTCTGGACTGTACTTTAAAGTGCGGACCTAGCTCGATTATCGATTATCAATCAACCATCCATCAACTTTAATTAGTGTAACGTCCTTCATCGATTTAAGATCATACCGTTTAATGGATGTTACATTTGGTTGGGATAAATATTTATTTGCTAATTCGTCAACACACTTCTTTTCAAAATACATCAACTATAATACATATTTACATTATAACATTCAAAATTCTTCATTGAATCATACACAAATTACAAAGGTATTAAATCGGAATCTTTAACCCACGAATCAAACTTTTTTGGCCAATATTGCCAACGCACTAAATGTTCCCGTTGCCCTTGTCTAGTTCGTGTTTTCAAGATTTTTTCTACTTTCCAAATATCATCTTCATTCGCTTGTACTCTTTGAAGCTCCGATTGGTAAAAAGTACCCTTAATGTCTTCATTTTGAAAATCATTTAAACGATATAATGGGAGGCCCTGCCTAATAAAACGTTTCGTTACTTTAAAAATTTCCCCTGTCCAATGTTGGTCGTATTCTCTACTAAAAACATGTCTCGACTGGGTAATTCTTACCAGAGCTCCAATGGGGAATTTAAAGATGTGATTAGATTTGGTTTTAACGATAGTTGATTTAGGATAATACATCCGCCACCAAATAACCAATTCATCGTCTTTAGATACATTTTTAGGAGCCATTTTTATACCCCTATGCCAAGTGGCGTTATAACTCTTCACAAAGTTTTGTAAATTGTCTATAAATCTATGGTTCTGTTTGTACGTGATATACCTCATTATTTTAGTCTTTAACGTCTTTATCAATCTTTCTGCATAGTTGGCCTTGGGGGTATTACCCGTAACAAAATGGCGGACTCCCCATCTATTCAACAATGTTTGTACAACCTTAGCGCGGAATTCTTGACCTTTGTCCGTCCTAAAGACATCTGGTTGTCGACCTTCTTTCAATATATCATCGAAAGCCTCCGCCACTGCCTTTCCAGTTTTGGAGTGTAGCGGTCTAACCCAGGCAAAGCGAGACATAATGTCAATCGCAACCAGGATATACTTTATCCCTTCATTCTGCGATGATATATTAGAGACATCCATAAGATCTGCATCCCATTGTTCGTCAATATGCGAGACATATACTTTGTTACGAGCGAATCGTTTCTTATAAGGTCTCTGCAGACTATAAGCTTCTTGATTGTCCAACCATTTCTTTATCTGATAACGAGACAGCTGATATTTTCCATCGTTCAGCACAGTCCTATAGAGTTTCTCCGGCCCGGCAAATGCTCCAGAATGCTGACTGTCATAATATAGTTTCTTCAAATAGTCTCGATATGCCATCTTATACCATTAATATCTAACTCGCGAATGATGAAATCTCTTGAAATCGTCAATATTTA